AGTACAGGTATATTGCATAGATTTCTTTATTGTTATATCAAGATTTAATTCAAACGGTTAAAGCTACTGTCTCTCACATTGTAGTTTGGGCGCTCCTGAAATAAAATGTTATCAAAAGATAAAATTTCAACACTGGCTCGTACATATGGAATTTGATGACTGTTACATCATGTATTGTCCGACGTTTATGTCTATAATATTACAAAAAAAAAAAACAAAAAAAAAAACAAAAACACAACAAAAAACAAAAACAACAACAACAAAAAACAAACAAACAAACAAAAATAATAATAATAAGAAGGAAAAAAACAACAACAACAAACAAATAAAAAAAAAACCCCAAAAAAACCCGAACATATCTTGGTATTACGCTTTAAAACTGGAATTTATATACTTAGTTATAAAAGGGGTGTTTCAAGTCACCCATAACAACTGTAAGATCACTGTTACATGATGGACACTGCAACTTTTACTTATATGCATATTTAATAACTGAAAACAAATAATTTATGTTGATGATTTTAGACCCGTTTGAGCTTTGAGGTCGTTGAATTGCGTTTTAATTAGAAAATCTAGAAATTCGTTAGTAATTATGCGAGCCGATCATGTCTTAAATCCGGTTAATTGACATAAATTATAATTGTGGCAAATCACTGTTTATGTTCTTTTTATTATTATTTGTGAGCTTTTACTTTTAGTTAGGTTTAACGTCGCACCAACACAGAATAAGTCACATGGCGACTTTCCAGCTTTACTGGTGGTGGAAATCCTGAGAAGAACCATTCGTAAACACAAACTAACTAACTAACTAACTAACTAACTAACTAACTAACTAACTAACTAACTAACTAACTAACTAACTAACTAACTAACTAACTAACTAACTAACTAACTAACTAACTAACTAACTAACTAACTAACTAACTAACTAACTAACTAACTAACTAACTAACTAACTAACTAACTGACTGACTGACTGACTAACTAACTAAGGTAATTAACTAACTAACTAACTAACTAACTAACTAACTAACTAACTAACTAACTAAGTTAGTTAACTAAACTAACTAACTAAACTAACTAACTAACTAACTAAATAAGTTAGTTAACTAACTAACTTAACTAACTTAACTAACTAACTAACTAACTAAGTTAGTTAATTAACTAACTAACTAAGTTAGTTAGTTAACTTACTAACTAACTAACTTGCTCACATGTAGAATCCGAAGACGCTAGCGCGGCTCGAACCTACAGCGGGAAGAGGCAAGTGGCTTGAAGTCAACGACTTTAACCACCCAGCCTAGGACACTCCACTGCTTATGGTTTTGTTTGAATACCTTATCCACATCGTTCTACTATTTCCATAGTCAAATCTTTATTCCAATTCATTTTTTTGTTAACAGAAATTTCAGTGTGTTAACTCAACGTTGCCATTTTATGGCTGGCCTTTTCAAAAGACATTGTGATCCGCCAGAAGAACTAGAGTAAGTGTTTGACACCGGTGCATACAAATGTGGGAGATGGATACAAAGCAGGACCTGGGGTATTTATTGCCCCGGTAGATGGTGCATATTGTTTTAATGTGGTAGCCACATCAGGAAGCAAACGGAGTTCATCACACGTAAGTATATTTCATATAAATGAGTACATAGAGGATATTGAATTATATGAAAGTTTAATATATCATACAGATACTGAACGAGCTGAATGAAGTTATATTGACAGTTGCTGGCGATTAAAAAAAACATTACATTGAACGTGTTCAATAAATTGAGAAATGAAGCTTTTCGAATATAATATTCGTTGTTTCACATATCTAAAAATAGAACTTTTTTCAGGCAAAACAACCTTTTTTGCCTTTAATGCTCTTACAGTGTTACGCTAACATTTGCAGCGTTTTAATTCTCTTATTGTATAACGCAAGTGAAGTCACGGCAAAATATATGCACGGCCGTACCTTTTTTACGGAGCACGGGTATGTGATAAATAGAGGGTTTTAATTAGTGTAGCTTTTTCTATTTTTAGCCCTAGAGACCCCTAAAAGGGGCCAATAAAATTAATATGAGCAAACTTGATAAAAGACTACCCAAAAATGCTACAGACAAAGTTTGGTGATCATCCATCCATTAGTTCTGTAGAAGAAGATGTTTAAAGGTTTTTCTATTTTTAGCTCTGCTGACCCCTAAAATGAGCCAATTAGAATGATATGAGCAAATTCAAGTGTGACTGTCACAAGGATGCTACAGACCAAATTTAAAGTAAATCGTCTCAGTAGTTTCAGAGAAGAAGACTATTGTTGACGCATGACGACGGACGATGGACGCCGGAGCATCCCCCTTTGATACTAATAGCTCACCCTGAGCCTCGGCTCGGCTCTCCATATGACGTCAGGAAAAATTATTTCTATGTTCAATGTAGATTAACATTTTTTTATCAATTCTCTTTTTTATTGGCATGTTACAATGGAAAAAGATATTTATTTTTCTTGCATTAAAATATAATAATGCACGGTTTATCCTTCAAGTGTTTTGTAATTAATCACTCAGGCTATCGGCCTTCGTGATTATATTCCCACGCATTTGAACTCTCTATCTATTTTCTATGTTTAAAACTAAAAATAAAAAGTTTTTATTTCTTTAAGCTACCTGTATACATCTTTCACAACCGCACAAAAGTTGGCTACATCTTTCTGGATGGAAACACAGACAAATGGTTACAAAGATCAATTCAGTGTGTTTGAAAATCTGTCGGCCGGGATTGTATGTCATCATTTGGAAAATGGAACTCTAGTGTTGTTTCCATACGCACATGAGTGGCTTTCTTATTAATTAAAGTAAAATCATATTATTCTCTAATTCAGTGATGATTTAACTTGTAGTTAGTTCTTTAAACGTTTTGCAATAAATAAGTTCATTGTTGATACTTTTGTTTGTGAGGGGTTAACACTATTTTATATCTATTCAATATAAAAGAAGGGGTTAAACATATTTCACTTGAAATAAGGGGTTAAAACTATTTGTACATAAAAGAAGTACTAAAACTACATAAAAGAATGAGTTTAAGCTTATCTACATAAAGAAGTGGTTAAAACTACTCTACATAAAAGACAGAGTATTCTAACAGAAGGTTACTTGATGTTCAAAAGGTGCTGCAAAATCCTGAGTATACGATATTTAAATGAAGGAGTTTATATCGCCGAACCTTTTCGCCTAGACAAAATAAACTTCAAGCATTTAAAAAAAAGTCACGTAAATGACAAAATGGTCTTATCTTTATAAATAAAATGAATTGATTTTTGTTAAAAGCCTGATCAAATCGAACAAAAACCAGTCGTCGCACACCTCATGGTCGTATAAAAAACAGGCCCCTTAACGTTCCCGTACTCTTATGTATAAATCAATTCCCCCTGAGAAGTCCGAAAAGTTAAAAGGGTTACATTCGAAGTTTGATATTTTGAACTGAAAATAAAAACAAAAAATTGAAGAAATAATCAGATAAAACAAACGTTCCAAAAATACGAAACATAAACAATAAAACACCACTGATAACAACATTAGCAAAGTATCACACAAAATAAAAACCTAGAACGAAAAGAAGAAATGTATGTTTTAACGCAAACGAAGTTATCTCTTTTTATCCCATTCTTCGACAGCTGATGCTTTCAATTACCAATATTAGTCACTTCTCTCTGGATAACATTTCTATATTGCAATGTATTTTATTACTTGCCGTCATGAAAAGAAAATTTAAAACTACAATGTGTACTATTCATATAATAGAAAGTATTAGCTGACTTAAAATAAAATAAAAATAAATTGCAGATATGTTATACTCATCGTCGAGATGATTTTCAAACTTTTCTTAGTAGAGATCCGTTAGAATGCAATTTAATATTACAAAAACATTATATCTGTTATTCTGTGAAATCATCTGTTTTGGGGGAGTTATATGTGTAAAAATGCTGTACACTAGTTTTTTTTGTTGTTGTTAGAATAATGAAACTGTGCCTATATCTGTAACGTTATCGACTTACCGACTTTATTATTTGAGAAGATAATTATAAGAGAGAGTATAAAAACTAAAAATCAAAACAAAACGAAACAAATGATATTATTTCGATTGAAGAAAAAAAGAACAAAAAAAAACCCTACAAAAATAACAAAACCCCCTCAAAATAATCCAAAGTAACACAGCTACATGAAGTACATGTATGATTTATGAATGATCACTGTTTACGATAATTATATAGATAATAAAACAAGACAAGAACACCCCAAAGATAAAAAAAAAGCAACCCGCCAAAATGAACAACAAAAAATAATAAATAAATGAAAGCCCTCTCTCCCTTCCCTGAAAAAGAAACCAAAGAAAGAAAAAAAGAAGAAAAACACCAACAAAAAACAACACCAAAGAAAACAAAACAAACTACAACAATAACAACCACCAAAAAACAAAGTCAATAATAAATTCATCATTTTTTTTGGCAAAATATATTTAAAATACTCTTGACAATGTCAAAACGTTATTAAATGAGAATATTTCTAGTAAAACATATTTTTCATCATCCTCTGTTTCGAAAATGAGAGTAAAAACTGTCTTTTATTTCTGATGAAATACTTTACAAGGAATTTTCTAATTTTCTCTGCTTCAACAAAATCATATTCAATTTCCAATATTTCTGTTGTTTTTTTTTATTCAGAAATGTTCTGATAAAGGTCCCTTAAGGCCCCCGAAGGTCTTCATGTCTGTTTATCAAAAAGAAATCTTATATCAAATGTACTTTGATACAGTTGCAACGAATTACACATGATATTTTTTTCCAAATTTACTCGGTGTAAATCAGTTGCTAGTACGTGATAAAGTGAATGTATTACGTAGCATTGAATAGATAGTTTCTTGCAGTATTATCGTTCATTTATCTGACAGGATAATTTAGTTTTTAATGTCTGTGCATTCAGGAATAAGTTTTAGTTTATCATAGACATTCTGGTCGGAGCAACACATTTTATTATAGGAATTAGTACGAATACAATTCGTATGAATACCAATTTAAAAGTTATTCTAAAATGTTTTTACAGAAAAAATATTTCATAGTTTGGATTGTCGCGATCGTTATATTTAGTGGTCAGTCAAAATGTGATGTTGAAGACCTCGAGCCAGGACAGTGCCTCTCGAAATTCGATTACGACTATAAAGTTATGCAGAAATTATTCTACTTAGAAAAACAGATCGACGAGTTGAAGAAACAGAAAACAAGTACAGGTATATTGCATAGATTTCTTTAATGTTATATCAAGATTTAATTCAAACGGTTAAAGCTACTGTCTCTCACATTGTAGTTTGGGCGCTGTAGGAGCACATTTGTCTCGGAGCACATTTGTCTTACGTAAGACCGATGTGGTCGCATTTGTCCCACATGAGACAAATGGGACCTCAAATGTCTACCCAAAAAACTCATTTGTGTGACAAATGTGCTACGATCAATTTTTTTAAGGGACAAGAAAGCCCATTTGTCTCATGTGTTTTTAAGGGACAAGAAAGCACATTTGTCTCATGTCATTTTTTACGAAATTTATTTGTCAACAAATTTTTTGCCCCACGGCAGAATTTTTTTTTTTAAATCGAGGTTCGCCGTTTTACCTCAAGTGTAAAATCATCAATAGGTTTGCTTATGCTTTCTTTATGAAAACCTACAGTGAACTAATAATTATAATATCTCTTATGCAAGAAATTGATTGACTTAACCTGAAGACGGACAATGAAACATACTAAATCCCGTTCACGATGGTACAATGGTGACAGCGCGATGGCACGATGGTACGTTGATGAACGTTGGTGCAATGGTAAAAACACAATGGTACGAACGTGAAACAACGATTGTAGGATGGTGAAACAACGATTGTACAATGGTGAAACAACAAAGGCTCGATGATAAAAACGTGATGGTACTATGATGAAAGACGATGTTACGATGGTGAAAATACGATGGTACGATATGATGAAACTGCGATGGCGTGATGATGAAAACGCAATATTAGTTTCTCTATCGTGTCATCGCATAATCGTGATTTCACCATCGTGTCATCGTGTTTTTAATCATCGTACCATCTCAATTTCACCATTGTGCCATTGTGCATAGCTATTCAGGGAGACAAAAAATGTAACTTACGAAAACACCATAAAGCGGTTTGATATTGAAATGATTACCAATATCGTGACTCGTTTCGCATCTCGCCGAAATCTCGCGTCTCGTGAAATCCCTCGCGTCTCGCTTCGCGTCCGTTCATCGACGCGAAGACAAGAAATTGATTCCAGGTCATATACCGCTAAGTAGTATTCCCTTTATAGTCTACATAAAATCAGCTTTAAGGCCCATTATGCCTGAGAAAAATGCTTTTATTTGTATTCCTCAAAAGCCTTTTATTTTTGGTATACTTTTTAGCTCTAAAAAGTTACTCATCGGCTAATTACCTGAAGCATTTTTCATCTGCTGCTTTGTTGCAGTTTTGTACAGTTGAAGTGATTTAGAATTTTGTATTGAAGTTCAAAGTACTACATTGTTTACATTTTTGCTACTTTTATGACGCATTATTTCACATTTTTCGCGAATTTCTTTGGGGTTAAACAAGCATTCTAACTTCCTCAGAAATCATTATTTTGAATATAAATAAAGTCATACTTGCCCTAAAGAAGTAAAAATTTATTAATTTCTGAAATATCTTTGGCACGGGAATACTTCGACATTGCGAGATTCTCCTTGTTACAATATCGTGCCTCACTTCGTGTCTCATCGGAATGTCGCGTGTCGCCCGATTCTGAGTGGCCCGATATTTCATAATCATGGCATTATAGGAACTCATGCATGTTGTAAGTGCCTTTTTAATGGCGAATCTAAAAGCCGCAATTCTTGGAAAATGACGACTTTTTATACATAATTATGTTTCTGATGAAAACGAAATACGTGTGTAATGGTCTTGTTATTGTCTCCATGGATCATTTAAGGGCCTCCGTGTGATTTCGAAACACCACTTGCCCCTAACCGCTGTAGGTTCGACAAATACACGGGGCTTCGAACCATTCATGCGAGTATCCCGGTCAGGGTCCAAATGCGCAATACATATGCGCGTGCGCACGTAATAGCTATCGCGTGCGCACGTAATAGTATCGCATGGCCACGAAAAAGCTATCGTGTGCGCACGAAATAAATAAGAAATTTCTATGTCCCCTTTATGCCACCGTAGTACTACCTTGTTTTTGCTAAGAATATTCCTAGTGCCATAAATCATTTATAAAACCATTGAAAATAAACGTATCACAATTGATAACGATAAGAATAGATATGCTGCATATGTGTTTAGGTTCTGGATGCTGCACTTGTAGAAATTTTCATTGTGACATGCAGAACAGGGATATTCTTATATTTAATATATGACTCCTATGTAGAGGCAGGGAGTTTTTGACTGACCGGAAGTGACATAAAAACGGTATTATAAATACAGAAAACACAGAACAATGGCTGGTAGCCGGTATACAGATGGACATAATTATTACCTTTTAAGAATTTTATGGAAAAATGTGAGAGAAATGTGCTTCGAGTGTCCTTTCTATTGTGTGTCGAACACATCTGTCTCATTTCCAATTTGTCGCAAATGTGAATGTTTACGAACATATCGGTCACACTTCGTGAGACAAATGTGCTCCGAGACAAATGTGCTCCTACAGGGCGCTCCTGAAATAAAATGTTATCAAAAGATAAAATTTCAACACTGGCTCGTACATTTATATGGAACTTGATGACTGTTACATGTATTGTCCTACGTTATGTCTATAATATTACCAAAAAAAAAAAAAAAATAATAATAAGAAGGAAAAAAAAAAAACAACAAAAAACAAAAAAAAAAAAAAAAAACAAAAAAAAAACCCCGAACATATCTTGGTATTACGCTTTAAAACTTGAATTTATATAGTAAGTTATAAAAGGGGTGTTTCAAGCCACCCATAACAACTGTAAGGTCACAGTTACCTGATGGACACTGCAACTTTTACTGATATGCATATTTAATAACTGTAATTAAATATGTTGATGGCTTAGACCCGTTTGAGCTTTGAGGTCGTTGAATTGCGTTTTAATTAGACAATTTAGAATTTTGGTAGTAATTATGCGAGCCGATCACGTCTTTAATCCGGTTGATTGACATAAATTGTAATTGTGGCAAATCACTGTTTATGTTCTTTATTATTATTATTATTTGTGTGTTTTTACTTTTGGCTAGGTTTAACGTCCCACCAACACAAAATAAGTCAAATTGCGACTTTCCAGCTTTATTGATGGTGGAAAAATCTGAGTAGAACCAACGACGTTTCGTAAACTAACTTGATAGCTTTCTCACATCTAGAATCCGAAGACGCGTTAGCGCGGCTCGAACCTACAGCGGGAAGAGGCAAGTGGCTTGAAGTCAACGACTTTAACCACCCAGCCTAGGACACTCCACTGCTTATGGTTTTGTTTGAATACCTTATCCACATCGTTCTACTATTTCCATAGTCAAATCTTTATTTCCATATTCATTTTTTTGTACAAAATTTCAGGTGTAACTCACGTTGCATTTATGGCTGAGCTTTCAAAAGACATTGTTGATCCGCCAGCTGATTCTAGAGTAGTGTTTGACACGGTACATACAAATGTGGGAGATGGATACCTAGCAGGACCTGGGGTATTTATTGCCCCGGTAGATGGCGCATATTGTTTTAATGTGGTAGCCTCATCAGGAAATAAATCGCGTTCAGCACATGTAAGTATATTTCATATAAAATGAATACATAGAGGATATTTTAATTATTTTTTAGTTTAATACTAATTACACTGAACAAGTCGAATGAAATTTTATTGAGCACTCCATTACATTCAACGTGTTCAATTAATTTAGTGATGAACCTATACGAAAATTATATTTATTTCATCACATAACCCCCCCCCCCCCAAAAAAAAGGAGAACATTTTATTCAGTTTAAACAATAATTTTATTCATTGACGCGCCTATAGTGTTATGCGCTTTTACTCTCTGTATAACGCAAGTGACGTCACGTCAAAATACGTATATGCACGGCGGTACTATTCTGTTTTACTGAGTCGCAATTTCGGTACGGGTATGTGATATATAGAGGATATTGAATGAGTGTAAGTTCATTACTGAATTTACTGAACGAGTTGAAAAATATCATATAATGCCAGCCTCTGGCGAGCATAATAATTATTATTGTATTTATCGAGTTCCATAAAGAAAGCCACACACGACAAAATTGAAAATGTTGCAGGCTCGGTATATTGAGCATGCTCATGGACGGTAGTGGATGATATATGCATAGCATAAAAAGGAATGCTTACACGTCATATATATATGCCAATACAATTAAACCAATAAACCAAATGACGTCAGGAAAATTATCATTATTACATATAGTTATATAATTATTATAGTTTAACATATCTATTATCAATTCTCTTTTTTATTTGCATGTTACAATGCAAAAAGATATTTATTTTTCTTGCATTACTACATAATAATGCACGGTTTATCCTTCAAGTGTTATGTAATAAATTACTCAGGCCTATCGGCCTTCGAGATTAAATTCCTACGCCGTGCATAATTCTACAACAATGCACTCAGAATTGATATCTATTTTCTATGTATAAAACTGAAGTCTCGATTTCTTTTAGCTACATTTATACATCATGCAGAACAGCACAAAAGTTGGATATCTTCCTGGATGGAAACAATGACAGATGGTTACAAAGATCAATTACAGTTGTGTTGCAAATGTTGGCCGGGGATACCTTGTATGTCATCATTGGGCAAACGATTGAAAAAGGAACTCTAGAAGGCTGTTGTTTCCATACGCACATGAGTGGCTTTCTTATTAATTAAAGTAAAATCATATTATTCTCTAATAAAGTGATAACTGAACTTGTAGTTAGCTCTATAAACGTTTTGTAATAAAGAAGTTCATTGTTGATACTTTTGTTTGTGAGGGATTAACACTATTCTATACCTATTCTATATAAAAGAAGGAGTTAAACATATTCCACATGAAATAAGGGTTTAAAACTATTTTTACATAAAGGAATATTTAAAACTATTCTATATAAAAGAAGTGGTTAAAACTACTCTACATAAAAGAAGGTGTTAAAACTACTCTACATAAAAGAACTCGTTAGAACTATTCTACATAAAAGAAGTATTAAAAACTATTCTACATAAAAGAAGGAGTTGGAACTTATTTATATAAAGAGGTGGTCAAAACAAGTTTACATTAAAGAAAGAGTAACCTAAAAGAAGGTGTAAAAGATGCTGCAAAATCCCGAGTATACGACATTAAAACGAATTTATTTCGCCGAACCTTTTCGCCTGGACAGAATAAACTTCAAGCATTTTAAAAAAAAGTGACTCATAATGACAAAATGGTCTTATCTTTGTAAATAAAATGAAATGATTTTTGTTAAAAGCCTGATAAAATCGAACAAAATCCAGTCCTCGCACACCTCATGGTCGTATAAAAAACAGGCCCCTTAACGTTTCCGTACTCTCATGTTTAAACCAATCCCCCCTCCCCCCTTAGAAGTTCAGCGAAAAGTGAAAAGGGCTTTACTCGTAGTTTAATATTAAGAACTGAAAACAACAACAAAAATGTGAAGGAAGCAATCAGATAAAGTAAAAATTATCTAATTAGCTAATTATCACTTAAAATAACAACCTAGAACGAAAGAGGTAATAATGAATAATGTGTTTTAACGCAAACAAAGTTATCATTTTTATCCCAGTCTTCGACAGCTGATGCTTTCAATTACCAATATTATTCACTTCGTACTGGAAAACATTTCTATATTGCAATGTACGAGTATTTTATTACTTGCTGTCATGAAAAGAACATTTTAAATTAAAAACTACGATGCATACTATTCATATCATAAAAAAGTATTAGCTGACTAAAAATAAAATTAAAATAAATTGCACATATCCTATACGCATCGTCGAGATAATTTTCAAACTTTTGTCAGTAGTGATTCGTTAGAATGCAATTTATCATTACCAAAAACATATATCTGTAACTAAGTGAAATCATCCGTTTCTTGGGAAGTTATATGTGTAAAAATGCTGTAAACTAGTTTTTTATGTTGTTGCCAGACAAATGAAACTGTGCCAGGTTTATCGTGGCAGGTTTATCGTTATCGACAGTAATGCTAACTTATCGACTTAAATATATGAGAAGTTTGTCCTAATTAAATCTAAAACAATCAAAACAAAAACGAAAGAAAACATGTTATTTCGAATGAAAAAGAACAACAACAACAACAAAAACAATAAAAGAAACCCCAAATCAACCCCCGAAATGAACAATGAAAAAAAATAAAATCATCAAAGCTCCCCCCTGAAAACAACAACAATAACAACAAATAAGCAAAAAACAACAACAACAACAACAACAAAAAACAACAAACGAACAAAACAATAAACAAACTTAAAAACAAAAAACCCAAAGAAAAACAGCTACCCGTAGTACATGTATGACGTATATGTAACTGTTTAATAACTATATAGATAATTTATGTATAAATGTTACTGTGTGTAAATATGTAAAATCATTATTGCTAGAGAAATGTTCCGTCAGAATCCATCAATTAAAATCAAGTTAAATACAAATAGTATAAGTAACGTATACGTAACGTATAGGTAACGTATAAGTAACGTATAAGTAACGTTATAGATTATAATTATCATATATTGATAAAATAATAATATTTTTTATGAGTAGATAATATGTAGTTCAAACATATAAAAGCATATATGGATAATAATTCACTAAAAAAATTCACCAATATTTTTGCAAAACATGTCTGTTATAAGCTTGACATTGACAAAACGTTATTAAATGATAATATTCTAGTAAAAACGTATCTTACATCAACCTCCTTTTTCGAAAATGAGAATAAAAGCTGTCAAACATGCTCTGATGAAATACTTTACAAATGACTTTCTAATTTTCTCTGCTTCAACAAAATCATATTCAATTTCCAATATTTCTGTTGTTTTTTATTCATTTCTCTCATGACACATCTATTTTGCAACGAGAACTTGATGAATACCACTTAATGAACTCAAAATGGTAAAATGATGTCAGACAAAGTTTTAAATTTTCTTTAAAGAAATAACTCTACGTTAGAAATGTAAACTATAAAATTCTTACATAAAATGTCTAATTTGAATAACAGACAAGCAGAAACAATGTTTGGGATGTTGCATTCCCTATAACTGGTAAAGTTCTTTAACAACAACATCATGATCATCAACAACAACAAACAAACCACTACCCTACAAAAAGTGCCAGATTTCTTAATGACACTATGTATAATTATGTATTATTATTTGAGCATAATAAGTTTCAGTAACAAAACCGTTAAACATATACCATGATAATCCTTGAGTAAAATATATTACTCACAGAAATTGATTAGAATCTTTAAAATTCTTGCTAAATATGTCTAATTTAAATAAAAGAATGAATAAACTATGTATGGGAAGTTGTGTTTCCTTTTATGGGAAAAATATAGATGGTCACTTCTTAAAAAATGACACGATATAATCATATTGTGACCACATATTGTGTGTAGAATTTTAAATATAACATACAAGTATCTACTTCGTGTGACGTCAAAACATGTTGTTTTTATATTTACAAAGAGACTGTGGAGCAATTATCAATATTTTCTAATATCAAATTTGAGCATAGAATATCTTAAACGACTATTTACTTTACTATGAAAATCAAGTAATTACATTTCTGATTTTATAAAAGATTAATTACTTTTCTACTTTTTGAGCAATATTGACCGTTTTGCAATCATAAGTTGCCATCCGGTAAACAAAAATATCAGTTGAAATATTGCAGCAATTACTCTGTAAAATAAGTTGAAAGCAATTATTCTGCGGCGTATCAACGGCATTGTTTCTAAGCCAACAGTTGATTTTTTTCTGACAGTGAAGATTCATACAAATTGTATTTATAATTAAACATTGTTGCTGTCTGGACAAAACACACGTTGAACTCATATCAAGTAGTATATGTTTAGATAAAGACAAATGAGAAATCCTTAAAAAACGACATGTCATGTGAGCCTCTTGTTGTCATTTCCTTTGTACAATACTTAGATCCTTGTGCCTTATATCACTGTAAAAGAGTCTCTAGACTAATGCTAGTACTATTTCTAAATGTTATCAAATAAATCATGTGTTTACTGTTTGCTCAAGACAACAGTGTTTCTTTTTTACTAATTTCTACGAAAATACTTTTTTATAATTCAATAGTCATGTTTTTATAGAAAATGTACCAAGGGAAGACAAAGCACTTTAAATAGAAAGGTACACTTCATTTTTTTCTCTAATGCAATAACATGGCATTTTTACAAATAGTATTCCCTCACCATATCTTCCAAAAATTGTTTCAATATTTACGTTATTAAGCTGACAGAACTGCTATTCAGAACAAAAAATAAATCATAAATCTTTGAAACACGGCGGCTAATTTGAATTTAATAGCAGCCAGACAATTTGTTTTCTACAAGATATATCAGACTTTTGAAACGATCAAATTGTTAAAGTAACAAGGCTCTGGGATTAACTGAGAACACATCTGGCTGATTTGTGCAAAGTGTCAAAACGTAAAAAACAACAATTTTTTAAAGTATTTTTAGCTCATTTACTGTCAATGTTATTTTTGTAGGATTTTAGGAGGCTCTCTTACAATTTGCTGTATTTTGATACATACGGCATTACAA